TGATCACGAGTCCTAATAAAGTATAAGGGTGATTCGTTTTTTTTTCTCTTTTTTTTTATTAGCTACTTGACCGGAGTACCAGTGGGAAGATGGGCTCTTTGGACGATGCTAAAATTATTGATTAACCCTTTCGACGATAAAATTGGCGTTGAAATCGTTTCCTTTTTTTTTAGGTAGAGGGCGCTGTGGTACTTACAAAAATTTTCTGTATTGAATTTTATAAGCGGGATTGTCACGCTTGAAAATGATTGTCGCTTACGAGGTGGTCCAGGGATGAATTTTTTTTTTTCTAGTTTTTCTCTTTTTCTCTCACGTGCACCGAAGGACTCTCTCTTTTTCACGGCGCTCACGGTCAATTAATAGTAGCTATTTATAAGGACAAACCGGGGAATCTGGGAATCCGCAATCCGCCGTGGGGCAATAAATCTCAAGTCGCTGTCCCGGGGATGGAAGCAGGAACCCCTCTTGTAAGCTGCTTGTATTGTAGCTATTACCAAGCCATGCATCACTAGGTAACAACCACCCGGTCCCTCGTTCCCTGAATCCAGCCGTTCCGCGTTCCCTCGTCCATTCTCAACGAGCTACACTAGGTACTCCTTCACCCTCTATCGCTCTTTCCCTCGCCGTCCAACCTGTCCGCGGACCCCCGAAGATGCCCCAACGTCTGCCGGGGAGAGTCTGGGAAGTTTCGCAGCTGATGGGATAGCGTGCGTGGACCAGGACCACCCAGGTGAAGAGTCCGAGGGATGGATTCACCCCAATTCACTGATTCCCGCGAACATTACCGAATGACATGATAGGCAATACCGAAGAGTCATTTGGAAGACAATGACCCCGCGCCCAGGGTGGGTGGCTGGGAGGGTCACCACCCCCCCCGAGGTCATCCAGATCCTGGCGGACCGGACGGGATCAAAGCCTGGTCGAACGTCGACAGGAAGAGCTGCTCCTTGGCTCGAAGGGACCAGAGCCAAATCGATAGAGCCAAGAACCCTCCGAAGGGGGAGAGAAAGGAGGAGGAATTCCTGTGCCAAGTGAGATTTTTGCCAATTCGATAAGGCAAATCCAAAATTGAGGATAAGATAAAAAATAAGGCTCGCGATAGGTGGTGAGAATGTTGAATTAAATAAAAAAAAACACGATGCAATAAACTCCCAATTCCATTGAATTGTAATATCTCGGTGTTCGAACCCCCCATGAAACCCCCCATGAAACCCCCCATGAAACCCCCCCAAGAACCGTAACGTTCGACTGGCAATCTTCCGTGACCGTGCACGAGTGTGAACTGTGCCTGCGCGCGCTCCTTTAATCAAATTAACAGAGTGCGACTGGGCCGAGTGTGGGCCAAGTTCCCCGCGTGCGGAACAAACGCGGCCACCCCGTCAAAACAAACCGATTCGCGTGATGTATGGTGGCGCGACACGCTATATGGCTATCGCTTACACTTCCGGATTAAACATTGACGAGGGAATTCCGACGGCACGGTACCGGAAGTTCGACACGGTATAACGGTTCGTCAATGGGCGGACTGGCAGCGCCGTTGGAGCCTCGTGTAACGCGGACCTGCTTGTAAATGAAGTAAGAGCTTGGGCAGGTCTCCGTGGGAGGACATAGGGGTGGAAGGACATCGACGTTGATATTGCCTATGCGATGTGGCGAGTTCGTGAAAATTTTTTAGGGATGAAAAATTGAAACGTCACTGAAAGTTCAGTGTCAGGGACGAAGGGGGATGCGAATTGGCCAAGGAGACTTTTGGCACAAGTGCCCGTGTCGCAGGGGCGTTGATTCTCGAAAATTTCGAAAACCCGGAAGTGAATCTACGCGATGCCGGCACGTTGAGCGGCGTCGGCGATGCCGAAGGGATGCTGGCTCGTATAGGGATGGTTGGGCGCCGGAGGATGGAAGTTGAGAGTAGTTGGGGGTTGATTGGGCGTCGTTGGGGTGGCGTCGGGGCTACCGGCCTCCTCGCGCCCTCGCCGGCGCTATAGTAACAACACGGGGAAACATAGGGAAATCAATATGGCTTCCGTTCAACCCCTCTGCCCTCCCTCGTCTCTTGCACCCTCAGTCACTCTCTCTCTCTCTCTCTCTCTCTCCTCGCTAACCCTCCCTCACCCTCTCGGTTCCTCGCTCGGACGGGTGAACCCATTATAAGGGGGTGTTACTCCGGGCCAATCCTCAACCACCCCCCTAGGCCGGCCGCGGAGAGGGGCGCATGTGCGTTGCTAGGGCTGCCGGATGGGTCGGCGAGGACGCGCGAATCAACCAGCCTGCACGTTTCCTGGAGAAAGAGGGGTGAAAAAAAAGAAGAAAGAAATCGCAGGGAAAAAAAGTTGGAGAAAAAAAAGAAGTTATCCAACAAGACTCCTCTCGCCAAGTATACTGGAAAGAAGAGTAAACAGAGTGCAGTTACCGAAAAGTCGTACAACGGGAGAAGAAAATGCAAAAAGGAGCGATAAGATTCATAAGACCAATTACGCTGTTCTTTTAATTCGGGAAAGTAGTAGGCAAAAGGGTGGTCACAGTCACAGCTACAGTCGTGGAGGAGTAACGTGTTTGGAATTCATTCCTCCGATCTCGTCCGTCTGCGAAGGACACGCACGACTCCTGCACAAACCAACGTCAGGGAGAGATCCGTCGGTCCCGATTATCAGCACTTCTGGAGTCACGATCCACCGAGTTTCTTCGTCGTGCCAGGATTCCGGTTTCTTCTTGCGTGAGAGAGAGACGACGCGACAGTTTTCCTCGTTTGTTCTTCCTCCGGTTATCATCAACTTCACACGTACCCGACAGAGGCGGGATCCATCGACGAGCCATCGTGCAAATCAAGTGTCTCTATGCGTAGACAAAGCCTTGAAGGACCATCCGCCGGGAACCGTAGGCGGCATGTGAGTCCTCTCCTTGCTCCTTCGAACGACAAAGTTTCCCTCCCAATCGGCAAGTGTATCGGAGCAACCACTGGTATGGGCCGGGAACGCAGCAGCACGGACAGTTGTCTCGGAGCGTTTGACGGAGATGCACGACGACGGTGTCGCGACACAAGAGACGGAACCCCCTTGTACCCTGGCGACGCTCTGTTTGATTTTTAACCGAGGAACTTCGTGGGACCGTTTAGAGAGACCAAATCCAAACTCTGCACCGGGAGAGAATCCTGCTTCAACGTGAGGCGGAGACGAGTAGGCGGCAGACTAGAAGTGGGCTGGTGGGAAACACGCTTGTTTCACTCTCCTTTCGCTGGCTGCATTCGTCAACGAGCCAACACAGACGGACGGCAATAATTCCTGAGCTGTATCGGACCACCCTTGTTATATGGCAGGATTTCGTTCTTATATAGTACTCGACGGTGGCTAACATAGCTTGCGAGAAAGCAAAGAACCACGGATTTCCATAATTTTATATTGAGAGTACTTCAATTTTGCATCTATCAGGTTTTAATGCTTACGTCATACTTCTTACGTACCGTGATCACTCGGTAAGGAGACTATTAACAGTGTATGATACTGTGTAACATTAATATTAACGTTCAACATACTTTCAAGCTTCGAGTCGGCCGTACCCTTGCGGCGTATTCGAGAACTAGTGTGCTGAACGAATCCATAATGGCATGGCTCATAAATGCGGTTAGATTTTATGGAAATATAATCACTGTCGTAAACCGTTCAAAGATACAACGGTAATATCTATACAACAATTAACAAAGTATGGATTAATTATTGTATACCGTGAGACTCTTCGGCAGATATATTACTCGTAATAGCAGGACGTAACGTTAATAGGTACGGAAGGACTGGGCACGACGAACGATGGTACTTGACGCCCTGGCTGCCTCTGTCGGTAACTTACCCACGACTGTAATGCCGGTACATCTGCAAAGCGTCGTGTACCGGCAAAGCACGTTACCTACGGAATGAAACAAACTTTCGCCCCCGTCGGTAAGTCGTATCCGTCTTAGCAACAATATATCGGAACTCTTGAATACCGACAATAACAACAATCGTACGTTTCGTCGACGATAACAAATGAAACGTAACGGTGGTAGTTTTAAAGTTGAATGCAAAGATTTAGGGGCTGTTTCCGTACCGGCGCCTCGACGACTGCCATACGAAAAACACATTTCATCGCTTCTCCGCTATAGGACATTCTTCTCGCGTGTCAACCCCACGAAAAACGTTCTTTGTAATGTCATCCCCAATTCAAAAAATCTTATACACAATTCGGGGTGAAATCTTAAGAGTGTTCACACGAGCAAATCAATACCCTGTTATCGCTATAGAAAAATTACCCCTATTTCCGATCTCTTCGATCTAACTAACAACGCTATACAGGGTCATCCAAAAGTAACGCGCCTCCTAAAGATAATTGTACCAGGAAAATTTTAAAATAGCTATGTGCACCTCATCCATATGATTTTCATATAACGACCCATATATCATCCAAAAAGGTCGAAACTGACCCAGTTACCGATAACGATCACACCGACAGACCCCACCTATCACCAAGCCTATCAGTATGCGCATACATAATATCAAACAGTGTTTACATGCGCTAACATTTCCTTCTGCGTACCCTTGACGTAATCGTAAACACTTTAGCACCCTCAACCCCGTTTCCACCCTTAAAAGGAAATGCACTTCACACCGTCCATTAACGAGACTGAGTATGCTGCATGAATTATAATAAAAAGTGTATACAAAATCCAGCATAAATATGTAAGAAAAATAATAACATGACGTCACTATAAAATTCAAATCTGATCAGTCTAAGATTAATTATAAAAATTCCCTAGGTCTTCCTCTCAACATTGATTCTCAATTCCTAACGTATAATTTTTGGAATGGTACACAAAAATTTTTCAGATGATTATATCTATAGTGAGCTACTCTGACGCATCGACCAGTATCACGATTTCTGGCGGTTATCGATAATGCTTCGTCGTAAGCGTTTACAAATCAGGATTACAGGGTGCGAATCGAGTATATACAAAGGTGCGATTACCAACGCGGTAGGGATTACAAAGTTTGCCAGGAGAATTGGCAATAACATTGGCCAGTCTGTCGGTTGACACTGTGAGATACAAAACGACCTAACAAAACGTTCCCGAGGCAGAAGCCGCGTCTTCGATCCTAACAAAATTTTATATCCAACCGTTCCCCTACGTAAGTACGTTAATCATACGGTGAAACGAGGTCATAGTTCACGATTTCGCGATATGGGATTATCAGTGCAAAATACGAGGGACTTTTTTTTTTTAAGGAGGAACCTATCGACGGATAAGTTTGAATTACCTTTTCTTTCTTCTTCTCACTGAACCTGCTTTCCTATGCCTGGTAAATAATCAAAGTGACTATCTACAGGGTGTCGCGAAAGTCTCCGTCATCATTCTTGCGTGTAAATCCAATAACGAGTCGCGAGTTGAAAATTGAATTAAACGAAAGAGCACGTTTCTGTATCGAGTGACCTTATTGTGTTTCTTAAAAAAAAAAAAAAAATGAAGTTATAAAAATTTGGAAATTTAGAAAGAAAAAATTCACATAGCATATAATCAATGATAATAAATTAAGACAGAAATCCTATCGTACGACCTATTGACCCTTTTCTACCTTCAAGTAGACACGCAGCATCCGCAGGTGTTGATAAATGAAATTTTGAATTTCGTCAAAGAAAATTCTAACTGATAACTCAATAATTATTATGTACAGGTAAAATCATCTGTCAGATATTCGGAAGCCAGTGCTACCAACGGAAAAAAAAAAAAAAAGAAAAAAAATGGCACTGACAATCGCCTTACCGCTGTCAGGAATAGAGCCGGAGCATTTCTACGCCCTGGGGGTTCGTCTGCTGTACGATCAGGGTGTTAGGACCCTGACAGGACAAGGACCAGCGTCACCGAGTACCGGAAGCGAGTCGAGCGGTTTCAGTAGCTGCTTCGCACCTTCCGTGGATTCATCCACGCCTATAATCACGCCGGGATCATCGAGGCCTGACACACCGAACGAGGATCCAATCAGACCTTCGGGAAAAGTATGAGATTTGGGATCGAAGATAAAATTTCGGATCGACCTTTGACCTTGATATTCTCTTTTATCAGATGACACAGGCTATCAAGGTGGTATACGGAGAACGGGATATTCTGAATCTCGGTGCCAACATCAGGGAACCGTCCTGGCAACTGAGAAGCCCCATGATGCCATCTTGCAATTTGACGATATTGATGGCCAATAGATCGATTTATTGTAGGTTAGGCAAATACGCCCTTACCGAAGATTATCCGACAGTACGTATCTTTTTTTTTTTTGCTCAATTTTATTACACGTCTCTTAATTTTTCTTCACGATACTTTTCACTCTGCGAATGACTTTCGAAAAAGATCCGACAGATGTCGCGTCGGTCGATCGTTTCAGGATTTCTTTAACTTCTCTTTCTTGGTACCGGATACTTCGTGATTGCCAGATTCGCCGTTGGGTATTACGAGGTCGTTCATCTTAAGAAAAATTGGATACGATATCACAGTTCCTATCAGACAGCAGCGAAAGATCCACGAGTGTCGCATGTGATGACCGTAGGGGAATTTCGTGATCCTGGCAGTCACGACGCGTTGGAACTTAGTAAAATTTTCACGACTTAACGTTGGCACTCTTGAAATTTTATCCGAGACCAATACCCTCAGATTCGACAAGGCGTTAAAGTTCTATGGACGAAGAAAGGAAATTTTATCAATTTTGAAAAAACAAAAAATTTTTATATCTCCACGTTACCTCTGGTATTTTCGATCCTAGATCGATCGTCTGAATATCCTTGATCTTACTGTGGACCAGACGATAGCGACTGCCCAAATAATTCTGCAGCGCGTTTCTGTACTCGGAAAAGGAGTAAGAGGGCATTTTGAAAATGGTATCGTAGCCCGAAGAGAAAAAAAAAGCTAAATACTCCCGAATCGCGAAGAAAGACGTAGAGCAATTAAAATCAGCTGTCGCGTAAAAATCTACACTTTCTTCCGATCGTTTATCACTGATCGACCATCTTGGAAAATAAATGATATCGCACGGCGAGGTGACAAAACGCTATCGTACCGAAAACGAGTGTTCGGCGTTGCGTGGAAGTGAAAAAAAAATTTTTTCAAGCAAATTTTTTTGTTTTCAGAGAAACTGCAAAGATTGCGGCTTCAGGGAACCGTCTCCGTATCTCTTCTGACGACATAAATTGAGAAGTGACGTCACCGACAACCTATCAAATTTATAAGACAACGCGGCAGCCGGCTCGTATTGAAAATTATTTTCAAAAAAAAAAAAAAGGAATCCAAAGAAACTAAAAAAGGATATTATCTCAAAGAGACAAAGGACACCGAGAGCGACTCCGTTGCGTATCGTCCTTAATATTTTAAAAATAAAAAAAAAAACCAAACAACAATCGACAAGCTTTACCAAATATGTAAAAGTTCGCAGCAAGTATATACTGACGAAAAAACGATGATTCCAAAAGAAGCCGGTTACGAGCTGCAAAAATGAGCGATCGAAAAAAAAAAAATTTTTTTCTACCAAAAGATGCTCTATTATGACTCAACATAAAAAAAAAATTAAAAAAGACAGAGATAGAAACTCGAGACGCAAATGTTCACGAAACACGTTTGTTGTCAATAATTTATTGAAAAATGAATTTAGAAAAAAAAAGTTTTACCATCAAAACCTCGTCGCACCTGTTCTACGCGTGTATCTTCATTATACACTATAGCTGTACGTAACTTTCAATTGAAATCGCATTCAAAGCGTTCTTATCCATTATACAGTAAGGACCGTTGTTTATGTCTAAATAAACAATTTATTTTTATAAAAATTAAAATCCAAAAAAGAAAATCGTACCGGAGTACGCCCTCATCTTTTTCCCTGTCCTAACGCACGCAATTTCGAATTACATACACGAATGGTAATAAAAATAATTTTCACCCCCCTCCAATTTTCCAAATTTCTCTTCCTTCTCCCACGAAAACGTCGTAAACTCATCAACCCCAAAATGCATTAGGACTCGATCGCTCGAGCTCACGCAACAGCGTTGTTTCAGTTTCCGCGTGACGCCGCGCGTGGCGCTGCGGTCGGACCCATCCGCAATTCCATACAAACGACTGTCTCTTTGCACCCCCGCTCTGCGCCCACCAATCCACCGTGCACTCTTTCCCGAGCCTCGGTGTGAACGCACCTTTACGATCTCTCTCGGTCGCGGGTGGTACAGGGGGTAAATCCTGTGAATGGACCTGTATATCCCACATACGCAACGAGCACGCATACGGGAGTGCGAGTCGCGTGCGTGTGAGCGTGCGTGAGATGTGCAGGACTATTCAGATATTGTTGTTATTGTTCAGGGAACAATCGGCCGTCAATAGGCTGCCCCGGCACAATGTATCTATTCAGGTGCGCTCAGGGGTGCTCAATTGATTGGTACAAGTTGCCAATTTCTTTTCCCCTCTTTCGTTCCATTCAGCCTCCAATCGAAAAACAATTATTCGAGGAGGAATTTCAGAAAAAGTTATCCGATCGGCTAGCGGGGGACGATAAGAATATTTTTCTAATGATTGATAGCTTTGAAATAGGGATACCCTCGAAAATTGTGTACCCGATCGCGTAATTTGGTGCCGATCGCAAAAAATCGGTTCGTATCTCAGAATTCGTTGCTCCATATCGAACGGGTTCCCAGGCTCGTTTGAGAACCCCTGCTGCAGCGCACTAGGCGTCCCTGGCGATGATTTCGTATGCGAGAATGATTGTCGAGCAATACCGCGATGCACATGCAAAGACCAAAAATCGTCGAAATCAGTCGAGTTCAACATTAACATTGTACCTGGTCCATTGTCTCCGGCTCATTGTTGTGTCTGTACTTAGTGCGTTGTGCCACGTCTACACGCAGATTCCCGACCGACCTCCCCCCCCCCCCC